TTTATTCCAAATCGTCGACCGCGGCATGATTGGCAAAAGTCTCATGAGCGTAAAACCTAGTAAATCCCTAGTGGGTTTTACAGTGAGCAATGGAATAATGTCCCCAATGGTACCATAATAAATATCTTGAAATTTGTATGCGAAATAAAATTACCCTCTATAAATCACGACTTCAAAAAGCCGTACATTTCTTAAATGAGCCTCTGAATGGCACATGACTTGGGTTCACAGGAAAGATGCCGCCTATTGACTGTGAATAGAGACAGGGTTGTATCTTCAGAAAGTCTCACTGAATTACGACTTGGTAAAGAGGAATAGACCCGCCCATTTCCAAATTGACTCCATCCTTTCTCAAAAGTCGATCATCGATCAGAAACTTGGATGATGATAAGTATAATTACAAAATTTTATTTTGACTTGAAGTTTTTAGTATACAAAAATCAAGTATAAAATGCCATTATTAAATTAACGGCGGGTGCTCGGAGATGGAGACAAGAAAGGGCCACGAGCAGCGAAAGACGCACGCATCGAACCCATCGTAAGGCGCTCAGCACGACGCTGGACATTGCGGCGCTGGGCATGGCACGCTGAGTGATCTTCTCTTGGGCCATGCGGGCATATCGGGCCAGAACGGAAAGATAGTGATGGCGGTCGTCTTCACGGAGCGGCATGAGACCGACGTGGAAGTTGGTCACAGCAAAGGTGAGTCGCTGGATTCCATCAAAGATTTTAGTTCCACACACAAACGTACTGTAGGAGATCTTCTACAAGATGCACACCCGGCCGAAGAAGTTCTCGACGATGGCTCGGCCAGCGGACACGGCGGCGTTGCGCTCCAGGTCAAGACGATCAAGGGCTCCATGGGTTGGGCGCTTCTTGGGGTGCAGGGCACGAACGGACTCGGTTAAACCAACGTAACCTTTGTCGACCAGTACGGCCCACATGTTCGGAAAGGTTTGATGAAGCTCACCGTTGTCATTTATAGTCGCTTCGGAGGGAGTCTTAGTCAGGTTGGCCACGTGCGTGTCATGGCGCTTGCGAAACATAGTTAGATCCGATACTGAACCAGGTTCGTGGTTGCTCATGTCCATGAGTTTGCCTTGTGAGGAAACTGACACTTCGATCTTGAGTCAGTAGAGCTTGTGTTTTCCGCTGAAGTAGTGTTTCTGCTCTCCGAATCGGCCGGCCGGTCGTTGCGAAGGTTGAAACTTGACATCGGTCGCGTACTTGGCGTAGGGATAGTTGGCGAAGTGGCGAACGGGCGCCACTGACGTGGATCTGCTCCATGGTTGGCATCACGATGAAGTTTTTGTAGATGAAAGGCGAAATAACTTCGACAACGCGAAGGACAATTTTCTCCAGAGTTGGGGGCCTTGATGAAAAGTCCAGTGCATGCTTCTCCCAAGCCTGGTAGTACTTCATGATGACAAGCGTTATAAAAAGCGCGTCCTTTGGCGTCGTCTTGGATTTACGGCCCGGCCATCGTTCCAGCGCGCTTGAAGCTCGGTTTCAACGACACTCCAGACGATCTCAATTCCATTCGAGTGAAGTTGGTTAGCGAGCGAAACCCCTCGGCTCCGCTTCCTTCGATGACCTTGTCAATCACAGGATTACCATACGTTACTGTGTCATTTTCCTCGTCAACAACGTCACCATAATCACCAAAACTCTCCTCGAGAAAGAGCTGGTCGGAGACACGCTGCATGTGCAAGCGCTCAAGAATGGAGGTGATATTGAGTACCATGGCGATGTTCAAATTGATTGTGTTGTGTGTGGCGATTGATCCAGGTTTGGAATCGCGCGGGAATAAAATGGTGGCGGCCAATACCATTTTGACACACGTAGCGACCGCAATATCCCTCTATAACCGAGTATTTGATAAATACATACAAGTTTTGATCATATTGGGGGTCTTTTTCGAATTAACTGAATCTATTTAAGATATTTCAATCTAAAGTCGAAACGGTAGGGACTCCTTGCGTCCTTGCCTACCGAGAGTGTGCTTCTTGCCGTTGCATGGTTTCGTCAATATCGAGTCACGGCGTGCAAGCCAATTACGGCAAGTTTTCCAGTCGATGTTGTTGGCTTTAACATATCCTTTTGAGGTTGTAAGAGCTGGGTCGAAGCCTTCGATGAACCTCTTGCGCTCGCGTTCGTGTACCTCGTGGAACCCATGTCCTTTTTGTCAAGCGGGAAGTTTGAACCAGCCAATCCGTATGGCTCTTTTATCGTATTCTAGTATAGAGATTATTTAGATTGTCTTGACATACAGTGTATGCATGACGTCCCTAGAAATTTTAATACATATGACCGAGGACGTCTCAATATATGGACAAAACTTGTACGCAATGTTCTCGCTGCTGGCTAACCAATTTTCCATGACCCCACGAGGGGATGTCAGCGCACATGTTTTCATGCGGTCTTTCCCGAAGCAATTTGGTTCAAATAGACTATTCTTCCGATGGGAGGACTGGTGTCACAGCGGGATTCGAACCCGGGTCATAGGATGAACAGCCGGAG